GGTAAAATGCTATGCCCAAGATTACCATCCGAGTGCCGGCGGTGGGGTGGTTCAAATAGCTTCGGCTATCACCTCATTATGTCCGGTCGTGATGGTCAAGTGGATTAAGGCGTCTTGTACATACCAGTTGCGTTGCTCCTGGGAGTATGGGTTCGAGTCACTTCTGGGGTGTGAGTTTTCAGTTGCATATTGTCCTGGGGACCATTCAGGCTTGTTCGCATTTGTGTTCCTCACGTGTGCCCCAAAGAATGAGGTGATTTGGTAAAATGCTATGCCCAAGATTACCATCCGAGTGCCGGCGGTGGGGTGGTTCAAATAGCTTCGGCTATCACCTCATTATGTCCGGTCGTGATGGTCAAGTGGATTAAGGCGTCTTGTACATACCAGTTGCGTTGCTCCTGGGAGTATGGGTTCGAGTCACTTCTGGGGTGTGAGTTTTCAGTTGCATATTGTCCTGGGGACCATTCAGGCTTGTTCGCATTTGTGTTCCTCACGTGTGCCCCAAAGAATGAGGTGATTTGGTAAAATGCTATGCCCAAGATTACCATCCGAGTGCCGGCGGTGGGGTGGTTCAAATAGCTTCGGCTATCACCTCATTATGTCCGGTCGTGATGGTCAAGTGGATTAAGGCGTCTTGTACATACCAGTTGCGTTGCTCCTGGGAGTATGGGTTCGAGTCACTTCTGGGGTGTGAGTTTTCAGTTGCATATTGTCCTGGGGACCATTCAGGCTTGTTCGCATTTGTGTTCCTCACGTGTGCCCCAAAGAATGAGGTGATTTGGTAAAATGCTATGCCCAAGATTACCATCCGAGTGCCGGCGGTGGGGTGGTTCAAATAGCTTCGGCTATCACCTCATTATGTCCGGTCGTGATGGTCAAGTGGATTAAGGCGTCTTGTACATACCAGTTGCGTTGCTCCTGGGAGTATGGGTTCGAGTCACTTCTGGGGTGTGAGTTTTCAGTTGCATATTGTCCTGGGGACCATTCAGGCTTGTTCGCATTTGTGTTCCTCACGTGTGCCCCAAAGAATGAGGTGATTTGGTAAAATGCTATGCCCAAGATTACCATCCGAGTGCCGGCGGTGGGGTGGTTCAAATAGCTTCGGCTATCACCTCATTATGTCCGGTCGTGATGGTCAAGTGGATTAAGGCGTCTTGTACATACCAGTTGCGTTGCTCCTGGGAGTATGGGTTCGAGTCACTTCTGGGGTGTGAGTTTTCAGTTGCATATTGTCCTGGGGACCATTCAGGCTTGTTCGCATTTGTGTTCCTCACGTGTGCCCCAAAGAATGAGGTGATTTGGTAAAATGCTATGCCCAAGATTACCATCCGAGTGCCGGCGGTGGGGTGGTTCAAATAGCTTCGGCTATCACCTCATTATGTCCGGTCGTGATGGTCAAGTGGATTAAGGCGTCTTGTACATACCAGTTGCGTTGCTCCTGGGAGTATGGGTTCGAGTCACTTCTGGGGTGTGAGTTTTCAGTTGCATATTGTCCTGGGGACCATTCAGGCTTGTTCGCATTTGTGTTCCTCACGTGTGCCCCAAAGAATGAGGTGATTTGGTAAAATGCTATGCCCAAGATTACCATCCGAGTGCCGGCGGTGGGGTGGTTCAAATAGCTTCGGCTATCACCTCATTATGTCCGGTCGTGATGGTCAAGTGGATTAAGGCGTCTTGTACATACCAGTTGCGTTGCTCCTGGGAGTATGGGTTCGAGTCACTTCTGGGGTGTGAGTTTTCAGTTGCATATTGTCCTGGGGACCATTCAGGCTTGTTCGCATTTGTGTTCCTCACGTGTGCCCCAAAGAATGAGGTGATTTGGTAAAATGCTATGCCCAAGATTACCATCCGAGTGCCGGCGGTGGGGTGGTTCAAATAGCTTCGGCTATCACCTCATTATGTCCGGTCGTGATGGTCAAGTGGATTAAGGCGTCTTGTACATACCAGTTGCGTTGCTCCTGGGAGTATGGGTTCGAGTCACTTCTGGGGTGTGAGTTTTCAGTTGCATATTGTCCTGGGGACCATTCAGGCTTGTTCGCATTTGTGTTCCTCACGTGTGCCCCAAAGAATGAGGTGATTTGGTAAAATGCTATGCCCAAGATTACCATCCGAGTGCCGGCGGTGGGGTGGTTCAAATAGCTTCGGCTATCACCTCATTATGTCCGGTCGTGATGGTCAAGTGGATTAAGGCGTCTTGTACATACCAGTTGCGTTGCTCCTGGGAGTATGGGTTCGAGTCACTTCTGGGGTGTGAGTTTTCAGTTGCATATTGTCCTGGGGACCATTCAGGCTTGTTCGCATTTGTGTTCCTCACGTGTGCCCCAAAGAATGAGGTGATTTGGTAAAATGCTATGCCCAAGATTACCATCCGAGTGCCGGCGGTGGGGTGGTTCAAATAGCTTCGGCTATCACCTCATTATGTCCGGTCGTGATGGTCAAGTGGATTAAGGCGTCTTGTACATACCAGTTGCGTTGCTCCTGGGAGTATGGGTTCGAGTCACTTCTGGGGTGTGAGTTTTCAGTTGCATATTGTCCTGGGGACCATTCAGGCTTGTTCGCATTTGTGTTCCTCACGTGTGCCCCAAAGAATGAGGTGATTTGGTAAAATGCTATGCCCAAGATTACCATCCGAGTGCCGGCGGTGGGGTGGTTCAAATAGCTTCGGCTATCACCTCATTATGTCCGGTCGTGATGGTCAAGTGGATTAAGGCGTCTTGTACATACCAGTTGCGTTGCTCCTGGGAGTATGGGTTCGAGTCACTTCTGGGGTGTGAGTTTTCAGTTGCATATTGTCCTGGGGACCATTCAGGCTTGTTCGCATTTGTGTTCCTCACGTGTGCCCCAAAGAATGAGGTGATTTGGTAAAATGCTATGCCCAAGATTACCATCCGAGTGCCGGCGGTGGGGTGGTTCAAATAGCTTCGGCTATCACCTCATTATGTCCGGTCGTGATGGTCAAGTGGATTAAGGCGTCTTGTACATACCAGTTGCGTTGCTCCTGGGAGTATGGGTTCGAGTCACTTCTGGGGTGTGAGTTTTCAGTTGCATATTGTCCTGGGGACCATTCAGGCTTGTTCGCATTTGTGTTCCTCACGTGTGCCCCAAAGAATGAGGTGATTTGGTAAAATGCTATGCCCAAGATTACCATCCGAGTGCCGGCGGTGGGGTGGTTCAAATAGCTTCGGCTATCACCTCATTATGTCCGGTCGTGATGGTCAAGTGGATTAAGGCGTCTTGTACATACCAGTTGCGTTGCTCCTGGGAGTATGGGTTCGAGTCACTTCTGGGGTGTGAGTTTTCAGTTGCATATTGTCCTGGGGACCATTCAGGCTTGTTCGCATTTGTGTTCCTCACGTGTGCCCCAAAGAATGAGGTGATTTGGTAAAATGCTATGCCCAAGATTACCATCCGAGTGCCGGCGGTGGGGTGGTTCAAATAGCTTCGGCTATCACCTCATTATGTCCGGTCGTGATGGTCAAGTGGATTAAGGCGTCTTGTACATACCAGTTGCGTTGCTCCTGGGAGTATGGGTTCGAGTCACTTCTGGGGTGTGAGTTTTCAGTTGCATATTGTCCTGGGGACCATTCAGGCTTGTTCGCATTTGTGTTCCTCACGTGTGCCCCAAAGAATGAGGTGATTTGGTAAAATGCTATGCCCAAGATTACCATCCGAGTGCCGGCGGTGGGGTGGTTCAAATAGCTTCGGCTATCACCTCATTATGTCCGGTCGTGATGGTCAAGTGGATTAAGGCGTCTTGTACATACCAGTTGCGTTGCTCCTGGGAGTATGGGTTCGAGTCACTTCTGGGGTGTGAGTTTTCAGTTGCATATTGTCCTGGGGACCATTCAGGCTTGTTCGCATTTGTGTTCCTCACGTGTGCCCCAAAGAATGAGGTGATTTGGTAAAATGCTATGCCCAAGATTACCATCCGAGTGCCGGCGGTGGGGTGGTTCAAATAGCTTCGGCTATCACCTCATTATGTCCGGTCGTGATGGTCAAGTGGATTAAGGCGTCTTGTACATACCAGTTGCGTTGCTCCTGGGAGTATGGGTTCGAGTCACTTCTGGGGTGTGAGTTTTCAGTTGCATATTGTCCTGGGGACCATTCAGGCTTGTTCGCATTTGTGTTCCTCACGTGTGCCCCAAAGAATGAGGTGATTTGGTAAAATGCTATGCCCAAGATTACCATCCGAGTGCCGGCGGTGGGGTGGTTCAAATAGCTTCGGCTATCACCTCATTATGTCCGGTCGTGATGGTCAAGTGGATTAAGGCGTCTTGTACATACCAGTTGCGTTGCTCCTGGGAGTATGGGTTCGAGTCACTTCTGGGGTGTGAGTTTTCAGTTGCATATTGTCCTGGGGACCATTCAGGCTTGTTCGCATATATATATATATATATATATATATATATATATATATATATATATGCTGAAATTCCTGGCAGTTCATTATTATTATATAAGAAGTACTTACACATTTCTTAAACACCATTAGTGGTGTTATCTTTGAATTCCTCGATTTTTTTTCACAATTTTTTTATATAATGACGCAAAGTATGTGAATAGTTCTACTGACAGAGTTTACATTTAGACAAGTTAACATTAGCAGATGATGCAATCTCTCAGAGGTACTTGTAGTGAGCAATGTAAAAACAGTGATATGACAGTTATGATTGTAATATTTATAATCATTAAAAAAATAAGATAAATTAAATGATGGACATAATAACAGTGATGTTCTGTAACCTAACTAACTTTAGTGTTAACAAATATGCATACATAGTAATAACCTCTTAAAATCTATTTGCCAGACTACTTGCTATTCGTATGTAACTTTTCACTTAGTGACAAGTGCTGGAATCAGAAATATAACAGTCTATACTATTTTATATTAAATCAGGTCCCTAATCTCATTGCACTGTAGTTCAACAACTTTACTGTATTGACCTGCCAGACACTACAACACTTCGGTTGACCTTATTATGTGCAAACTGAATTTTCAGAGCTGGTGGGGGTGAAGATATTCTTATCTCTGATGGGTAAGATGGCCATAACAGCAGCTTTCCAGCTGATTTGGGTCTATACAATGGAAGTTTTCTCCACCAAGCATCGATCGCGTGCTCTGGGAGCAGCTAGTATGTTCTGCAGAATTGGCAGCATGTGCTCGCCCTACATCAATGACATTATGGTTAGTTACCTCTAGCAAAGAGTAAAAAATCCATAAATAATTTGATGAAGATATATTTAAGATAATGGAAGATAATGGGATATTTGTATTTCCTTATTCATACTTATTCTTCCATTAACAAATAATATTTTTTTCTGTATCATATTATGAAAATTTGGCGGAGGATTTATCAGTAATACTATAATATTGCAGGGTGAGGTCGTGGTTTGGGGACCATCTGCACTCTTCAGCTCCGTGGCGCTGATGGGGGCCAGCCTAGTTTATATCCTCCCTGAGACTACCAATAACATCATGCCTCATCATTAGTTTAGAGGATTCCGCAATTAAGAAGCTTCCTTCCTAATGGCACATAATGCTGGAACTATATATTTTTAGCCATAATTGTTAATCAAATCATTACACGTGCATTAGGTTGTATATTATGGTCATATATAGATTTAAAGTTTTAAATTTAATTTCGTAATCACATTAAAAATGTACCATTATTTATTGTTTTATTTTGTGCACATAAGTCCAAAATTTTATTTTCTGGACAAGGATATACTTATAGTCATGAGATGAGATAAACTTTAAATTTGTCTGTCAACGGTGGCTTGTTTTGAATTCCCATTCAGCAAGTATCTCGTTGGCGTGTATAATTAAAACCGGTGATCCAGTTTAAACATCTATATAAATGTTATTATTATAAGAACATCGTGCCTAGAAAAAAACCTACTACATTTTATTTCGATGCAAATCATCAAACCAAATACACCTTAAGATAGACAATGCCAACATGAAAAGTAAAAATGAGGGAAAGTTCTTGGCCTATACATATATAAAAGACTTAACTTCAGTACTCACATTCAGAACGTTGCCAAAAACGCTAAGGACGTTATCACAGGGTTCAGGTCATGAACTCTGTAATACTGCACTCGTGAAATTTCTCCAGTCTGATACATTGCCTCTGATTACTGCCCTCAATTTTTTGTCGGTTAAAAAATTTGTCATCTATGTTAGCAGCTTTCCTGTCACTCCTCCAGTATGTTCCAGTTACCAGAAAACTCTCTTATGTGGGGTTCTGTCGAAAGCCATTTTTAGGTTGAGATAAATGCAGTCAACTCCAGCATCTCTTTCTTGTAAAATCTCTGTGGTTCTCTCATAGATATTATGTAAATTCGTTACACATGCAGGATTTTGCAGATCGAAAACCATATTGTCTGTTATTATATAATTTTTGTCCAGGTGTTCTACCAATTTGGTTTTAATTATTGTTTCCAATATTTTGACTACTACACTTGTCAATGATGCAGGTCTATAATTAAGGATGTGAAGAAGTATGATTGATTTTTGGAATTTTTGTGAATTTAAAAAAAAAATGTTTTTAATTTCTTTCTCATTATACCTGTCAATGTATTCCATTACCAATTAGCAATGGTAACAAAACATATGCAAAAAAAATCAAAATGTGTGGGGTGTAACGAAAAGACAGCGTTCAACATAACAACACAGTTTATTCAACAAAGTACTAACTACTACAACAACGTAAGAAATGTCAATGACGTTACTCGAAATCCTTCCTGTGACACCTTGACTGACAGCTAGACACCAGCCCCGAGTGCTGCAAAATGAACCCAACTTGAACATACTGAGTGACCACAGGAATCAGTCAAGAAAAACATACTAACCTATAATCACAATGCCACAAGAACATGGTAGGTTAGGGGACATTCCTCCAATAACCTCTTATCAGTACTCTACGCTTCTTGCAGCCCTCCCCTGCAATGACGGTTGCAAAACAATCAAACTAGTAGACTATCAATGACATGACAATGACTAATACGGCTACTGACAACTCCAGCAACCCTCCTCAATTAAATTCTTACGTTAACACTCCGTCCCTCGGACGATCAACAAGCAATAACTAATTGATTACGTTAACATCAAAGTAACATTTATGTTAACTTAATCTTGTCTCCCACAGACAAATCAAACTGTACAACTGTCACTAGTAACTCGGAAGTACACAAAACACCCTACCCGTCGAGCATTCAATGAGTAATCCCCCATTAATCTCTGTACTCCAGACAGCTGATTAATCCCAGTACGAGTTACGTTATCGGTTACTATCGCCCCTTCGATAGTTTACTACAATCTCAATGTCTAAAGTGCTAAGAGAACGGCAATCACCCCTTGACTGCCCTCGAGCAATTAATTACTATTCCAAAGATCAATAATTAATTAATACAAATACGTCACCTTTCACACTGGCTCAGCAATTATAACATCAATGGTATGAACTCCGTCTGGGCCTTCCATACCCGACGAATTCAGGTGACTAGTACATGATCCCACGAACCGATAATTAATCATCACGTCTACATTACTTTACAATGACGCTACTCTCCCAAGAGTCAATCAAATTACCTGTCCACTGACAGATATTAAATAACCGATGTTACGTTAATGAAACAAAGGAGCCTTCGTGTGAGTCGATCAATCCTGATCGAAGTTAATTACCTTGACTTTATGGAACCCATTAATTACCTGTCCAACTGACAGATAATTTGCAACAAACAAGGTGCAAGATTCAGCCCTCTCGAAATTCTACAATTTTTGTCTGGCTTGGTTAGGCTTCCTGAGAGACCAACACAGCTGTTCCTAGGAAAATAATTAACCCAAACGTATCTTACGTTACTAAAATTGTCATAGAACAACTTCTCTATAAGCAATGGGTGTTCCCTTGGTTACGTTATATTAATTGACTCGCAATCACCTCACTGAATAAAGGACTTCGATGACCACTAAATAAATAGGAAATATAACACCAAGTACTCGTCCCAGTGACGAGTTCACCCGCGACACAATAATAAACCACAGCCCCTCCGGTAGTCTACTATACAATCCGGTTGCAATTACTTCAGAACACCAGTAAATAACACTCATTGTTCTAATCCACTAGAACCATACAATTTACTGACTGCAATAACACACACACACATTGATTGAGCAACACTAGCAACAATCACGGCCCAACAGTTACAACCCCTTGCAATAACACACACAGACGGTGCTATAATTTCACTATATTAGAACACGGCGCAACACTACTACTCGGTTGCAAGAACTATTTCACAGTGCTCTAATTACCTCTTAGAACACGGCCCCCACACTTCAGCAACCCGGTTGCGAGAACACACTCACTGCAACCACAGTAATAACACACTAGGTTTCATGACACTACGATTATATATATAGTGCCTGCTGACCGCTCTAACAACGTTAATGGGAAACACTAAGGAGGACCCACACTCCTGATCAACTTTGGCAAGTGATTAGCGATCCCACAGATCGATAATTGCTCCCATGAATTACGATACTCGACAGAGCTGTCAGCTGTCACACCTAACAGCCACGTTACTCTATATATTACTATATATATATATATATATATATATATATTATATATATATATATATATATATATATATATATATATATATATATATATATATATATATATATATATATATATATATATATATATATATATATATATATATATATATATATATATATATATATATATATATATATATATATATATATATATATATATATATATATATATATATATATATATATGTCGTACCTAGTAGCCAGAACGCACTTTTTGGCCTACTATGCAAGGCCCGATTTGCCTAATAAGCCAAGTTTTCATGAATTAATTGTTTTTCGACTACCTAACCTACCTAACATAACCTAACCTAACTTTTTCGGCAGCCTAACCTAACCTAACCTATAAAGATAGGTTAGGTTAGGTTAGGTAGGGTTGGTTAGGTTCGGTCATATATCTACGTTAATTTTAACTCCAATAAAAAAAATTGACCTCATACATAATGAAATGGGTAGCTTTATCATTTCATAAGAAAAAAAATAGAGAAAATATATTAATTCAGGAAAACTTGGCTTATTAGGCAAATCGGGCCTTGCATAGCAGGCCGAGTACGACGTTCTGGCTACTAGGTACAACATATATATCTATATATATATATATATATATATATATATATATATATATATATATATATATATATATATATATATATATATATATAAAAGTTTGTGAGGGTACCACCTCTGGTGCCAATGTGGGGACCCATAGCCTCGGAGAAGAAAATAAAAAAGTATTCAGAGGAGACCTTGTGGTTTCTCACTGAGCACTAATATTATCTTCTCCTACCACCCCCATTCTTTTGTATGTACACATATATATTTACTTTATTTGAACTTTGTTACAAAAAAGGAGTTACATATGGGTTACAAAGATGGTTGTCATAGGTTGTCTAGTTCCTCCAGCTCCTCAGATGGCGGGCAGGAACCCTGGATGCAGTGCGCATTTCCCCTCTGTATCGCCACACTGAGGCGCTGGAAAAGAAAGCTTGCAGCTTTCGGGTCCCTTGTTGTTTCAATGAGCCTAGAACCCAGTTCCTTCAAAAAACTGGTAGCACTTTTACCCCAGGCGCCGAGTGTCTCAGAAGCAATGGGGTCAAAATTGTAGTGGTGATCCAGTTCTCTATACTTACGGGATTTGGCTGCTTCCCTGTGGGTGGCAGCGCCACCTGGTTGTGCAACACTGAGGTTAATGTTGGTGTTAGCCAGGGTTGATACGCACGTGTAGTCCCATACCAACTGCTTGCCATTCTTCCAGGGGTTCACTGTGATACCATCCGGGCGACCAATAAGAGCATCAGAGTTACGGGGCGTTAGGTAACGGGGCTCTCTTTCAGCTGGGCATCCAGCTGTGGTGAGGCTCCTATTGATGATGTCGTTAACTTCACTGTGCCTCGAGTGCCATCCCCCTGTGCTTTGGCAGAGTAGGCCATGGTGGCCGTACCTGTCAGCCACCACCTCGCCGCAAATACACCTATATCTGGTGTGGATTGGGGCAGCAAGGCGGAGGGCCACAGCAATTCGGAGGGCGTGTGGTGTGAGACGCGTGCCAGTTGCCGACATTGGGGTCGCTAACAGGAAATCCCCTGCATGTGGTGCTGCTACTGCTGTGAGGCGAGCAATGTCGTGTTGTGTTGTTGCAGCACCCAGGCACTCTGCAGCAACTTGGTCTACAATGGGACCATCCCAGCTGGATTGCTTGTGGGCTTTTGGGGATGGTGGTTGAGGTGATTGGCCTGCACGAGAGGCCCACTCTGTGGCACAGCGTGTAAAATTGGGATCATGTACACCTGCTAGCTGATGTAAGTGGGCAGGTAGAATTTCCTTCACAAGGTCGTCGGATGCTGATAAGGAAGACAGGAAGGCTGGTACAGCGATTTGCGTTGCTGTTCGAACTCCGAGGCCCCCAAGTCTTACGGGAAGAGAGGCTTGTTTCCACTGTAGGTCATCGAGAGAGATGTTAAAGGCTTTTTCTAGCATTGATTTCAGTAACCGGTCATACTCACATAGTTTTTGGCTACTGTAAGATGGTGAACACCTCAGAAAGTAGGTT